AGTGAAAATTATCTCTCCTTGGCATAGGCTTGATTACAAATTTTAACTCTATTTCAACAACAGTTCCTCTAAAGACCTTGGGAAAATTCATGGCTGTTCACTAGCTGCAGTCACTCTAGAGTGCAGTGAATGAGAGGAATGTGTGGCGGCTGCCCAGTCTCAGAGCTGAACAGCATAAGCCTTTCGAGCAGCCCCAGGGTTATCAGGGTACAGCTGGTTTTCTTATCTATTTGTGTGTCTCATTTGAAAGTGGGCTTGCATTCACCTTTTTTTTTTTAAATAGGTTTTTTTTAAATCATTTTATTAGGGGCTCATAAAACTCTTATCACAATCCATACACACTTCAATTATGTCAAGCACATTTGTACATATGTTGCCATCATCATTCCCCAAACATTTGCTTTCTACTTGAGCCCTTGGTATCAACTCCTCATTTCCCCCCTCCCCCGCATTCATCTTTATGCAATTAGTATACACCATTATAACACTTGAGACATCACCATCACTTGGATAAACATTTTTTAAAATACAGAATTTTTGTCTTCCACACAGACAAAATATGTATTTTTAGGAATATGACAGGACATGGTAAATGGGTCTGTTCCTGTAATAAACGTGTAAGTTTTCTAGAGAGACTAGACTTTCTCATTACCATAAACACATAGATCCTTATCACGTGTGTCTTTTCATGATATTTCTTAAATCCAATTTGCACGGGAACCTAGACACCTTCTTCAATGCAGGGCAACGGTTTCCCTCTGTAACTGATCATCAGGTTGACCCGTGGGTCTAAACACAGCACCTCTGTACCCACTAGGAATTCCCCACAGAAGTCAGCACAGAAACATGAGCTCCCCTAAGCTATCACGCACACCTGGAAACACATCTCTGGAACTCCGTCAGACCATCTACCAACAAGAGCATGAGGCTTGATGCAGGGACCAGGCCAGTGCGTCCCTTTGCACTATCTCCCATGAGGAAAATTAAGCCTTCAGGAAGAACTTTAGATCAGCAATGAATAAACAGCTTGGCTTTGGATGCAAATGGTGAATAGAGGAGCCCTGGGGACATCGTAGTTACAAGATCGGATGTTAACTGAAAGACTAGAGGGTTGAAGCTCTCAGTTACTCTGTTGAGAAAGCTGTGGTAGTCTGTTTCCCAATGATTATGACTATAAATCAGAATTAAGTCTACTGCGATGGTTTTGGTTTTTTTTAAAAGGAAAACCTGAAGAAGTTCTGGTAGCACGATGGTAAGGTGTGCAGTGGCTACCAGAAAGGTTGATGAAGCCACCATGGAGACTGCGGGAGTAGTGATCTGTTCTTGTAAAGATCACCATCTCGGAAACCTATGGGGCAGTTCTACGGGCCCACATAGTGTTGCTATCTACTGAGCAGCAAACAAAACAACAGAAGCACACTGAAAAGAAATCTACTTTCTAAAAGCCGGCCTTTGAAAACCCCATTGATCTACGCATGATGAGAAAGATAATGACTGTATAATTTCACTCAGAAGAAATAAGCAACTATATAGAAATCAAATGTACTAATAGTTACTAGGGGTCACGAGGGTGGGGGTCGGGA